CTAATCCCTTTGGCTGATTGCTCTTCTCTCTGGCTTCCTGGCTTTTAATCCCCTTTCTCCTGCTCTTCCCGCTGGCTACTTCGGGCGTCCCTGAGTTGTCTCTCCTCACCTGTAACCCTGGGGCTGACTCAATGTGGAATTAGCATATTACAATGGAGAATGAGAAGAATAAGTATGGCTACTTCTCAGATATAAGTAATGTGGACATTTTTAATTAAAACTTAAAATATTTTCTAGGTTTCATAAAAAGGGGTGTTATTTTAGTTGCCAGAATTGGGTCCAATTCATAGCAACCTTACATCTAACAGAACAGAATGCTGCCTGGTGCTGTGTCATCTTCATGAATGTTGGTATGCCTGGGTCCCCTGGTAGAGCAATGGTGTCAACCCATCTCATTGAGGGTTCTCCTCATCTCCAACTATCCTCTACTTCACTGAACACGATGTCCTTTTCTAGCTATTTGTTTTTCCTGATGACATGTCCAAAGTAAGTGAGGTAAAAGGAATATTTCAGTCTAGTTGCCTATACATATATGTTTAAAATCCACCTGAAATTTATAAAGATAAAAAATTAGATAAGCCTAATTTTTACATGAAATAAATAACACATGGATATATACAAGTCCATCTAAAAAGTAGTTATAATGCTTTATGTAAAAGCCTTAAAGATGTCCTTAAAATTCTGGAATAGAAAAGGGAACAGCTGAGAGTCAGAGAGCAATATCAGATTTCAGTTCTGTCATTTGACAGCTGTGGGAATCTGGGCAAATAACTTAATTGCGGTGTCTCAATTTCCACGTGAAAAACACGTAAAGGGTTAAGAAAATGACACGGGCTATTTTACGTATAAGTATCTACTTTAACAGCACAAAGTAGGCATTAAGAAATGTTAGTCTCGGAGTTCCGGCAAGATGGCGGACCAGGCAGAAGGATTGCACAGACCCTCTTCAACAAAGAAAAGGGAAACCAATTAACACAGACACAGAAGATAATCGTGGACCCCTGAGCCT